GTAGGTCTAGTCTGTTGATATGGGATGTGGGAATCTGGGCAGTGTGTGGGCTAATGACTCAAGATGGATATATCTGTGACTCTGTGTGTTGAATGTGTTTCTGTTTAATCTTGGGGTGTTGGGAGTCTGAGCCTGTGCATATTTGTGAATCAGGATATGTGTTTATGGATCTAAGAGTTGTGTCTGCATAGCATATATATACCTGTGTGTTGTGAGCCTGAGAGTCTATATCTGAAAGTTGGGTCTGTCTCTGTAAATCTAGGAATGTGTATATTCTGAGTTGTGTGGGCCTAGAATTTTGGAGAGGGTGTGTTCATGGTTTGTGTATATCTGTGTTTCGTAGATGCTTGTAAATTTGGGACTATATAACTTCTTGAGTGGTACTGAATTGGGAAAGAGTGTGACTCTGGGAGTGAGCATATCTGAGCTATGCTAACAGTGGTCTATGTCTTTGGTAGCTGGTGTCTGTGTTCCTTGCTCTTTCTGTATCTCTGTCTGCCCATCTGTTTTTCTGAGTCTCTCCCTCCCTGGTTGAGGCCCTGGGTCTGTGAACGTGTGTGGTGTTGAACCTCTCCCACCCAGTCCTTCTCCTCCCCTGCCCTCCCCAGCAGTAACTGGGCAGCCTCCCCGTCTGCCTGCCTGCTGGGAGTTTGGAAGCCATGGAGGGAGACAGGCTGGGGCCGGGGTGACAGCGCGTATCCACGGCAATGGCAGCCTGTGATTACAGGAATAAAAGGATTTTAAGGTCATGGGTGTATTTTTTTGTTTTGTTTTGTGTTTCTCCCCTCTTTGGTGGAGCCATCGGCAACAAAGGGCCATTGCTGTGTGTCTGCAGGTTGGGAGCCTGTCCCCATGCAAGTGAACATGGATCTGTGGGTCTTTCCTGGGAGCATGAACACATGTGTGTATATATGCATGAGTGGAGCCTGTGAGAACGTGTGTTCCTCTCTGCCTGCTCCCCGTGAGAGCGTGCATAGGGCTGTTCCCTGGGGAAGAATTCTCAGGAAAACTTCTTGATTTGGGGTATTTCATGGAGGTGGAACCCTGCAATCCTGTGTGTGCTGAAGAGCGGTCTGGCCCCAGTCTTTGCCTACCTGTCTCCCTCTCCCCACCCCACTGCCCATAGGGTGTCTCTGACCAGAGACTGGCTCAGCCCAGTCACCTGGGCCAGGCCACATCTCAGGGTGTCAGTGCCCCTGGCCCTGCTCCAGCCCCTGTAATTGCATTCTGCCGCCTAATCCCCCGCCAGCTCAATTAGATCGCAAATTCTTCTTCATTTCCTGCCTCTGATGCTGGCCTCCCTCTGGGCTCACAGGGCCTGGGAGGGAGGGAGGGGATCTTGCCCCCTCTTCCGCCTGCACTGGGGACTCTGGAGGTGGGGTGTGATTAGTTCCTAGCACACCGGCCCTCGGGTGCTGGTTGCAGCCCTGGGGGCCAACAGGACAAGGCTTTGCTGACCCTTTATAGACCAGCCTCAGTAGCCCTATGCTAGGGGGAGGGGCTTGTGTTATCTGGTACCTGGGCCCTAAGTAGACCAGGCAGATCACTCTGGTCAAGCCCCTAAACAGTGTCCTCACAGACTCTGCCCATCTCCTTGTTCCCAGAGGAGTTGCTGACCACCCCTTGGTCTAGCAGTTGTGACCTTGTTTTTGACCTTTTCCTGGTGGCTGTTTCAGGCACCAATAGGATCACTGAGCTCCCCCGCTACTGGGCCCTCCTAACTCCCAGCCTCAACCTCACCCCAACAGGTATATTTGACCACTGGCTCAGGAGTCAGACCTGGCTCCAAATCCTGGCCATGTCACTGCCAAGGTGGATATATGTATGACCTTTGGTCCATATATGTTCTGTGATCCTCAGTTTCCTTATGCCTGAAATGGGAGTGTAAGAGTGCCTGCCTCACAAGGCTATTTTCACACGGACACAGGGATGGCTGTGCAGTGCCCACCATCAGTGGCTAGCTAGCCCACAGTCAGCATTCAAAGTTGGCTTTTATGGTGATGAGGACTTTCTGTCCCCCAGTGAAAAGGAAGAAAAGAACACATGGCTCATGGTTAGCTTTTCTGTCTTTATTCTGCTAGTTGCCAGGTGTGTGACCTTGGGTATGTCACTCTGCCTGTCTGGGTTTCTCTTCCCCATCTGTGAGATGGGACCCACGATGGGCCTGACCTCACAGGATTACCTGCATGCTTGGCCCTAGCCCCCCCTGCAGTACAAGGTGTTACTTGTACTCTTATTTCTTTTCCTCACACCAAGCCTGGGGTGGGGTGGGGCTGGTGAAGACACAGGCTCGGGGACAGGGGGACTGGCCAAGGTCATGGGGTTGATGGTGGGGCCTGGGGCGGGGGGCAGTGGGAGGGCTGGGGGATGACCTGCTGGCTTGCTCGCCCGTTGACTGGCTGGCTCAGCTGAGCTGTGAGGCATGGCCTTCCCTCCCGCTGGTCTCTGTGGAAAGTGGTGGCGCGGCTGATTTTTTTTTTTTTTTTCTGTGAAGGGGAAGCTGGATGTCTACCCCCTCCTTCCCCAGGAGGTGCCTGTGGCAGTGGCTGTGCTGACAGGCCTCCTGGCCTTCTGACTAGAGTGGCTGGCAGCTCTGAAGGGCCGGCTGCACACAGATCAGCCAGAGGGAAGAGAGAACCGCAGAGGTCCCCTGCCCTCACTAATCCCCCGGGCCCCTCCCACCCTCAGCCCGTCCTCCTCCGTCCTCCGTCTGGATGGAAAGACAGAAGCAGCCATGGCAGGAGGAGAGCTGGGGGAGGCTGACTAGGCTCCGGAGGTGGTGGAGGGGGCCTGGGGACAGGGGGTGGTCTGCTTCAGGGTCCCTGTATCTCCCTGGCTAGTCTCCTTATTTCTATGACCTCTGTCACTCATTGGCCTAAGGTCTTTAATATTTCATGGCCTTTGGAGCCAGCCCCCTGCCCCAGCCCACAGGCCCCCTTTGTCTGCCTGCTGCCCACCCTGGGGTATCCCTGTCACTGAATTGCTGAATTACTGACCTCGGGGTTGCCTGTGCACCGCCCCCCCAGCCCTGATACCATCCGTATCCCTCTTGACCTGCCCCCCACACACACACCTCTGCCTGTCACAACTCGGTCTCTCCTGTGTGTCCTCTCCCCCTCTCTCACATCTCTGACTGTCCCTCTGCCCTTTCCCTCCATTTTTCTCTTTTGTTGGCCTCCTCCTCCTCCCCAGCAGGACAGAAACAGCGGCAACTGGTGTGCCTGGCTGCACCCCCCAACCCTGTCCACCCCTTCCTGCCCCCATCCCCCCAGCTGTGCTGGCCGGGAGAGCTGGTTTTATTTATTTTTCTGTTTGTTTGGGAAGAGGGCAGGGGCAGTTCTGGGCCCTGGCTGCTGCGCTCTGCCTAGAGCAGTGGGCAGGCGGGCCGCACTGGCCTCCCAGGAATGTGGCCGGGACGCCCCGCGCTATATTTACTTCCCTCCAGCTGCTGGCCCCAGCAGGGCAGAGCCAGGCCTGCCCGGTGGCCCCAGGGGAGCCCTGTGCCCACCCTCCCCTGTCCGGCAGACCCCACATGGCCCTTGGGTCCACTGTTCCCTCCCTTCACCATGACCTCCCCTGACCTCCTCGGACTCGCCCGGTCTGCCAGCAGGAACGCTCATATGCCATGCCGGGACAGGCATGAAGTGCAGGCGCAGTGGCCTGATCCATGTGGGACTGCAAGCACCTGGCAGCCCCCACACCCCCACCTAGGGGCCTAGCCTAGGCCTGTAATCTGGTGGCCAGAACTATGCAAAGCATCTTTTCAGGCCTCTCCCCACTGGCCCGGTCCTTGCTCTTGCCACAGTCCCCTCAGCTCTGCTGTGATCACTGGCCAGGGTTGGGTGGGCTAGGGTGGGAGGCCTGAGCCAGCGTCAGCAGTTGTGTTCCCTTCACTGCCGTCTTGCTTCCCATCTCCCCTGCTGGCCCTCCCAGCTTTCCTATGTAGACATGTATTCATGTGCATGGTTAAAAGCTTGCACATACATGTGCGGCAGGCACCCGTGAACACATGTTGGAGTAGACCTTCCATGGAGGCAGGGCCATGCTTCTAACCATCGAGTCCCTTGATCATCAGATGCTAATGGGAGGTTACTGGGCTTGCTCCTTGCCAGCCTTGCAAGGGGGTGTGGCAGTGATTCCTTCCTGTCCCCTCAGTGTCTGGCACCAGCTAAGTGTTTGAAGAACTTTAGCTGCTGCTCTAATCACTCATTGTCTCCCAGTTATTACTATAATAATCATAGTAGGTCTTAACAATGCTGAAGACAACAGCTAACCCGTCCCAGGCCCTGACTGAGGGCAGGCACTGTGTGGACAGCTTTCTAGCCTTCGCTTTGTTCATTCCTCACAGTAGGCCAGTGATGTGGGTGCTGTTAGCTTCCCCATATACAGATGAGGAAACTGAGGCTGGAGCATTTGGAACTTGCCACTCCAAGTGGGATTGGGTCCTGGTAGAGCCCTTGATCAGAGAAGGCAATGGCACCCCATTCCAGTACTCTTGCCTGGAAAATCCCATGGATGGAGGAGCCTGGTAGGCTGCAGTCCATGGGGTCGCTAAGGGTCACGACTGAGCGACCTCCCTTTCATTTTTCACTTCCATGCATTGGAGAAGGAAATGGCAACCCACTCCAGTATTCTTGCCTGGAGAATCCCAGGGGCGGGGGAGCCTGGTGGGCTGCTATCTATGGGGTCGCACAGAGTCGGACATGACTGAAGTGACTTAGCAGCAGCAGAGCCCTTGATCGGCCATGAACACCACAAGGACAGCCAGGGTTGGGCTGTGTGTGGCAATTCACACTACCTAGCACACAGCAGGCACTCCGTCAATGCCTGTGGGGTACAGGCCTTGCTCTATTTCCTTCTTGAGTCCCCCAGACCCCTGGCAAGGGACCTGGCATTTGGTGGGAAGATGGGCTGATTGGCTAGTTGGGTGAATGAAAGGATGAATTAATGAATGAGCAGGTGATTGGCTGTGGAATTGAGTGCTCTCAAAGGACACCAGGATGGGGGAGATGTACTTACATTGGTGAGGAGACTGGTCAGGGGAGACCCACTGGTCCTGCAGAGGATTCTAGGAAGCAAGGTTGAGGGGCGGGACTGAGAGATGCATCCAGGGACCAGTAGGCTGCCAAGGCTGAGTCCTTGGGGCAGGTCATGTCGTCTTCTCTCCCCCAACCTCAGTTTTTCATCTATCAAATGGGCTTGGGAACCTTGCCCCAGCTTAGCTGGCTGCCAGCTGGCCTGGGCTGGGGCTGGCCTGGGAGCCTGAGAGGTGAGGGACTGTAGTGGGAAGGAGGAAGCAGTGGGTGGTGAAGACTGGAAGATGAAGCGTGGAGCTTGGCTTGGAACCTGAGAAGCAGGGAGACCAGTCCTGACCTGACACCCCTCCTCCCTCTGAGCTCCAGGGTGGGGGCACAAGCTGACAAAGCCCTGCCTACCCACTTGCACTCTGGCGAGGTCTGGGCCTCCTGACAGCTGCAGCATCCGTGGTTGTGTTTGCCACAAGGTGGTGGCCTGTCCTCCAGGACTAGACCAGCTTGATCCCCAAAACCCCCTGCCCTGCCCCACAGCCTCACGTCCAGTTCCTGGTGACCCTGATGGGAGACCCAGCTCCTTTCCTGCCTGACCTGCCTCCCCCAGAGCTCAATAGAAAATTGCTTAGCTGGGCCCCCAGCAGCAGGTAGGAGTGGACTTGGCCCCCTTTCTTCTGGCGGTGTCTGATCTCGGTGGCCTGGAATCTTAAGTCACAGGAGTCTAGAATCATAGAATGCTTGGAGCTGAGGGATTCTTGTCAGGATTCTTGTCATGTTGATAGCCTAGAATCATAGAACCGTGGGCTTTCCTGCTGTAAGGAAGCATGAATGGTCATGTTTCAATCTTGTTCGATGCTAGGAACATTGAGAATCTGAGAGGAGGGGCTTCCCTGTGGTGCCCACCAGTGACATGAAACCCAGTTCTGCCTCTGGTCTGCCCCTCTCTGGAAATAAATCACACCAGCACGGGGAGTGGACTGTGTGGGCCCAGGCAGGCAGCGAGGGGACGCAGCTAGCCTACAGGCACGGGAGGGGTCCTCACAGCAGTGCCCGCCCGCCCGCTGCCCACGCTTCCCGAGGCACCAGTGTGAGGAGGAAATGCAGGCTGTTGCTTCCAGCGACAGCCGGCAGGGCCGGGCGGCTTCCCAGCTCCCCCTCTGATTCACGGCCGCCTGCAGCTCCCCCCTCCCCTGGGGGCCTCTGCAGCCCCATCTGTGCAATGGGGAGAGGAGGCTTCACCCCACAGTCTAGTCACAAAGACGGTACAGTTGTGATTCTTTTAAAGCCCGCCCTTACGCTTTGGGAGAGTTGGGCCAGTGGTCCTAAATAGTCAGCTGGGCATTTGGCCCCCCGAGCACTGAGAAGTTCTGTGTGGAGTCACCCTGATGCCTGAGAAGCTTGGGCGGGCTGCATTGGTTCCTGAGGTGGAAAGTCTACCAGGTGGGAAACAATAGAGAAGCGCCCTGCCACCAGGGCCATTCTTCCCATTCAGGAGGAGCCTGGATGGGAGCTGGGCTTGCTCCTGATCTCAGTATACCCGTCTGCAAAATGGAGGATGTCATTCCATGTGGCCATTCATTCATTGTCTGCTCTGTGCCTGGACATGTGCTGGGTACTGGGGATGCTGAGGCAAGTGGGAGGATGGTAGGGAGAGGAGGGGTATCCTTGGCGGTGTGGTGGGAGTATGATTTGGCTGAAGGGGTGACTCTGGGAGAAGGAATGAGGTTGGGGGGGAGCAGATAAGGGGCTGACCGGCAAGGCCAATGTCCAGCGGAAAATCCCAGCTGTTCTCAGGAAGTGTTTCCTCCACTGGTCCCCGGGGAGGGAGGCGAGGCAAGCAGGAAGGAGGAGAGTTGGGGGCAAACAAGGCCCCCAGCCAGTCTGATGGAGACGTCCAAGACCTGGCAGCTGGGCGGGTGTACCCCTCACACTGCAGGAGGGCTGGAACGCAGCCCCCCACGCTCCGGGGCTGGGCCTGTGATGGGGGGTCGGGGCTCTCAGGAGGGCCCGGGCCGTAGTCCAGATTTCAAAGCCTTCCCCAGGGGCCTTGCGGTGCCCTCCGCCCTGTCCTGAGCTGCCGCCGCGGGGGTGGCAGATGCTGTTTCATCGGCTGAGACGAGTGGGAGGCCTCCGGAAGGTCCTCCTGGGAGGTTCCGGGGGGCAGCGGGGGCGTCGGCAGCTGCCGCCCAGCTAGGACTGGTTCACGGTGGCCTCCCAAGTCCCTCAGTTCCCCCAGACCTGGGGATGGAGCACTGAGACTGATTCCTCCTGCCTTCACTCCCCCTACTGCCCACCAGGCTTCTTGGCTCTGGCCCCCCTCCCGTCCCTGGCTGTGTCTGCAGAGCCCCCCGGGGAAGGCAGGGGAGGAGGCGCAGCGGGCTCAGAACAGCGGGTGCCCGCGCAGCCAAGTATTTGCTCGAGCTGTCAGAGACAGACAGGCATGTAGGGAATTCGGTGTGTGTGGGGCTGGGGGAAGCAGCCGGGTGGGCAGGCAGGCAAGAAGGGGGAAGCTAGGGCTGCCTCCCCCGCCTGTTGAACCCTGCAGAGACCACCGTTCTCCCAGCCCAGGCCAGAAGGTGCATTCGGCACCTCCTTCCTGTCTGTACCAGTGCAGGGGACAAGAGGGACGGGGTGGGACCCTGGCTGATGACAGGGCTGACACTGGGGAAGGGGTGCCCTGCTGAAGGCCAGAGCCTGGGAGAGGCTGTTCGGTGGAGTGTGGAGCTGGGCAGGAATCCGGGTTGTGCCCAACTGTGGCCTCCAGGAAATAGCAGCTGTCATGCTCCCGCGTCTTCCCCCCTCCCCAAGCCTGGCACAACTTGTTTCCTGGCCAGGGTCTGGCTGGGGCAGATTGGAGGAGCCTGGTATTGCCCAGCCTGGGCAAGGAACAAGCAGGATGAAGGGTACCATATTTATAAGCCTAAAGGTACTTGGGGATGCTGGGTAGAGCTTCCCCTGTGATATTCTTTTGCTGAAGCAGGCTGAAGTCATTTTGAAGGAGGGGATTTCAGCCCCTACCTCCCTGGACAAAGACCCTAATTTAATCACCTGCGTCTTCTCTCCGAGAGGGCCTATTAGGCAGGTCAGGGCCTAGAGCTGAGTAATACTTGATATTTCATAACTGAGAGCCCAGAGAGAGGGATACACTGGCTAGGGTCACACAGCGGGTTCTCCAGCCTTCTCCCTACCCTCGTGTGGGTGGGGTCAATGGGAAGAGGTGAACATTGGGGGTTTGCTGGGGTCGGGGGCTATATTTAGTTCAGTCCTGCAGGGCCAGGGGGCCCCTGGGAGCAGCTGTTGGGGGGGGGTGCAGACAGAGGCCTCGAGCTGCATTTAGTCTGGACAGAAATATCCTCCCCCCACCCACCCACCCACTGGCTGGGCGGCCAGGCTGCGGGCTTGTCCCCTGAGGGGCAGCTTGCCTGGGCCTGGCGGCCGGCGGGACAGGCAAGATGACCCGATAGGCTTTTCCCAGCTCAGGTTTCGATGAAACAGGAACCGGAGCCGTAGCCTGGGCTGTGGGAGCCAGGGCCGCCGGAGCTGGGGGGCCAGGACTGCCTCCCTCCTGCTCCCCCCTGCTCCCCACCATGCAGCCTCCCCTTCTCAGAGGCCTGGGGAAGCAGCAGGTTATTTATCAAGCAGCCTCCCTGCCGCGTCTGCCCTCGCCTGCCTCCCTCCCACCCCCCCCAACCCCCAGCGCTGGCGGCCATGAGCCCAGCCGAGCAGGGTGAGCTGGGCGGGCTGGCGGCGGGATGAGCTCAGGAGACATGAGTCACCCCATCCCCAGCAGCCCCGCGAGGCCCTGCGGCCTGGCAGGCAGCACATACTCACGCACATCCCACGCGGCACACCCAGGGGCACACGCTTGGGACAGACAGTCACTCAGCACACGACCCAGCACACAGGGCTGACACTCATGGGCAGGGCCCAGTCACAGTCGTTGTGGACACTCCGAAAGCACACTCGCTGTCACACTCACAGCCCCAGCCTCTGGCAAACACACAACACGCGCTGACACATACACGCAGACGAATGGACAAACAGTCACACATGGACCCCATACACGACTCCAGTAAGGCGGTGTGGTATGTGTGCTCCATCCTGTCACAGGCTCAGGCCGTTGTTCTCCGGCCACAGCTCTCACCCAGATGGTGTGAAGAGTTGGGCCCGGAGCACTGACCCCACGGAGACTGGTGCACACACAGGGGCGCTCCCAGCAAGGTTGGGGCTCCATTCACTGAAAGGTGTGTGTGTAGGCTCACACAAAGGAGACCCATCCTCGGCCGTGTAGAGTCAGCTGAACTCTGCAGGGTGGGCACGGGAAGGGAGGTGTTTCCCCACCCCTGGGGAAGGAGGCCCCAGTCACGGGCATGGAAGTGTTAAACTCATTTGCCCTCCAGTATGGGGAACTCTAGCCCAGGCAGAGCTGGTTGGGGGTTGATGGGGAAGGGACACGGGGGAGCTCAGTAGAGGAAAGGCTGGAGAAGGAAAGCCATGGAGAATCGATTTTCCTGGGAGAGCCAAGTGGCCAGCTGCTCCCCCCACTCGGAGCGGGGTCCTTGAGAGATTGCGGGGTGCCACAGACTGGGGAGGCATGAGACTTCCTTGATCTAGTGGGCTGAGCGCTTCAGGAGCCTGTCAGCCCACCCTCCCTGGTCACCCTGGCCTCCCGCCTTGCAGCCAGCACCCTAAGACTCAGAATTCAGACTTATACACTGATTTTTAGTCTCTGGCCTGAGTACAAGGAAGGGCTGGGCTCCTGGGTTAGGGGGATGCCCTCAGGGAGCCTCTATGCTTCTGCTGCCCACTGGGGCTGGCGCTTGCCTTCCCTGAGTGAGCAGAACTGGGGGCATAACCCATATTTCACACAAGGAAAAAGGCATCCTTTTTCAGATGAAAGAATTGAGTCCGATGGGGATGGCTTCATTGGTCACAAAGGACTTTGGACACAGTCTCCTAACGCTCAGAGGGCAGCTCATTCTGGGCCCACAGG